CTATAATATATTCTACCTTTGCATATCTAAGTCTGCCATTATACTAAGTAAGATCTTTTTCATTATGTTACTAGTTGTAGATTTGTGTCATGTTATCGTGGCTATAGTATCCGATTTGATAATAGTTTACAAATTGATAAGTACCAACCAAAAAATGTCATTAAGGTGAATGTTGTTAGTTTTTCTGTTCTAAACTCTTACTGATACCAAAAGAGAGATAGGTAGAAAGATGTAATATTATATTTCATATTTTTATTTTTTTCTCATCTAATGCATTTTTTAGGTGTGCAGCAATACTGAATCAATAAAGTTTATGAGTGAATGGTTGCATCTTTAGCGTGAGAAAAATTTTCAGGCAACCAAGTCTTCAATAATAGTGGTAAAAGCAACATACAGAAAGATGATGATGATTTTTGTTGAAGACTGAGGGCTAAGTTTAGGTCTTTCATGGATCAGATGATGTAATTGATAGGATCTAGATAGTTTATGCCAACACAATCTTCTAAACTTGATGAAAGTAATGTAGATTTTGGATCAAGAGATACTACAACACAATGACATATTTTTCAGGATTTGTATTAAGACTTTATGGATTTTAGGACTATATTTTATGGAATTTAACTTTATAATTTAGATTGTTTTAGAATTTCTATGGATATAAACTTAATTTTATGATGTGGATTTGATATTTTAATGAATAATAGATAAATAATGCACTTTTAAAATAATTACACATGTTTTATTTTTAATTTAAAGTTTATTAAATAATTATAAATGAAATTAATCAAATTACTGATGAAATTTAGATTTTTACGATGAATTTTATTGACGATATTCTTGCTTTTAGCAACGAAAATCATAAATTGCTAACAAAATACTTATAAAATGCTGATGGAATGTCGATAGAATACTGATAAATTTATCGATAAAAAATAACTTTTATTAACCATTATTAACCAATTATTGACAAATTACCGATGGAATAGCAATAGATTAGCAATGAATTACCGATGGATTATGACAAATTTTACCAATGAAAAATTTACTGATGAAAATTTCTTGATAGTAAGCAAGTCAGTAATAGTATTATGTTGATAAATTAAAAATTTCATCGATAAAGAATTTAAGTTATTATTGATGAAAAATTTCTTCAATAAAGCCTTTTTTCTGGTAGTGAAAATGATATGTATTCATAAATGAACAATCGAGTAAGAGTGTAATTGAATTTTGAATCTCAGAATGCCAATTTTTTTGAAAATGCGTTTCCAAAATAAGGGTGAGATAAGTAAAAAAATGTTTTTTTTTTAGATTGAAGGTGCAAATGATTTGGTAAGTTGCAAATTAATTAATATATATCCTTTATCAATAACTAACAGTATCTCATCCTAGTGGGAGCATGAATAAAGTTGATGAATTTGTTGAATTTATTTCACAAGAATCACAAGTTAGGCAAAAGAAAAGTAAATGAAAGTAATGGAAGAAGAAAGATGGAGTCTCATATCAAACAATATATAAGAATTAATTGATTTATCCAAAGGACGTAATTCTAGCCATTATAGCTTGTTTAAATTTGGAGTTACATCTAATGGATGTAACAAGTGCCTTTCAAAATGGAAAAATAGAAGAAAAATCTATATGAAATGACTTATAGGTTTCATTGATAGAGGTCAATAGCACAAAAGTGTGCAAATGCTTAAGATCATTTTATAGTCTTAGAGGATCTTTCAAACAATGGTCAATTAGTATTCATTAAGTGATAATTTCAAATAATTTTATCATGATTGATGAAAATCGCTGTGTGTATTTCAAAAGAGTTAAAGACAAGCTTATGATCTTCTCACTCTATGTGAAAAATATACTGTTGGCTAGAAATGATAAGGAATATTCCAATGTGGTGAAAATTGGTTGTCCTTAAATTTGAAATAAAAGACATGTTTGAAGTAGCTTATACTTGGTTTAAGAATCAAGAGAGATCATTCTAAGAAATTATTCTCTTATGGCAAAATTCCAAGCCAATTAATACTCTTGTGGCAAAAGGTGAAAGCTTGAGCTAAAAAATGTGTCATGAGACTCCATAAGGTAAAGGAATAAATGACAAAAATTCCTTACTTTAGTGCTATTAGAAACTTTATGCATGCTATAATGTGCATCATGCCAAATTTTGCTATGCTACGAGCATGGTAAGCAAATATCAATCAAATCCAAATCAATCCCATTAAAAAGCCATGAAAAGGATATTAAAGTATCATAAAGGCACTATAGATTATTTATTGTGCTATAAAAAAATGGTTTGCATTTAATTGGCTATATGGATGCCAATTAAAGAGGAGATTTAAATTAAAAATTTTTTCCTTTGGTTATATTTTCTTATTGAATATTAGGCTATATCTTGGATCAATAAGAAAAAAGCTTGAATAGCACTATCCACAACCAAAAGTGAATTTGTAGCATTTTCAATGGTAGTGCAAGAGATTGTTTGACTTATGAGATTTTTGAAGCAATTGAGAATTCAGAGAGATAGGTCTAACTCAATGCTTGTGAAATGCAATAGTCAAGCAACAATAGCATTCATAAACAGTTCCTAAAAACTAAACACAAATATATAAAGTATAACTTTGTGAGAGACATTGTTGTACAAAAAAAAGTCAAAAGTACATTTCTATGCTTGAGATAATTATAAATCCATTAATTAAGTTCATTCCTAGAGATATGTTTTATAGCCACGTGAAATCTCTAAAGTTGCGTAGATAAAGATGTATAGATCAATATGTTCCATGTGAACCATCTATGATTTTTTTCTCATTTGAGTTAACTTATATTGAATGCAATTAATGCCATTAAAGTATAGTACTTTGTTTTGTGAACTATGCACACATGTATATGTATATGTATATGCACATATACGATATGATTTCAAAGGCATATCAGACAAATGATTGGCCTTTTTATACAAATAATCATATTAATGGTTTGACACCATGGAGATAAAATTATTTGAAGTTATGGATCGAGAGCCTAAGCTTAAAATGGAATCACCTTAATAAAAGATCAAGATGAGGTCACTTGATATTAACATTTGTGACCAAAAGTGAAAAATCCCAATGTTTACTTTGTCTATTTTAAATGCCTAGTGGAAGTCTTCTTAATTATGATAAATTAAGTAAAGTTATGGACTCAAGTTAGATACTAGAAGTATTTGAATTATCATTTGTATGATATTGATATCTAATGATAAAAACATATGCTTTATGGGAAAAGGAGAATAATACCGTAGTATGGTTTTATACCACGTGTATGACCAAGAAGGGTAACAAAAGAATTGATATTTGCTTCTTGTTTTCTAAGACATTTGAGATCATAAGATCTTATATAAACTTGACAATTTAAAATACGATACGATGATATAATACAAAAATAAGATACGAATGTGACACGACTCAAAATTATAGCAATAACTATATATAGGTTTAACAAAACAAAAAAAAAATTGTATTTCATATTTTCGTATCGACACTAATTATGACATGTAATTTTCATATAAAAACACTATACAAATACTTAAATTTTAATATTTTACATGGTACGAGTACACAAATCACCAGATCTAATCTTATATTTAGTACCTTTAAGGACTTTCAACTATTTCTTAAAGTTTTAGTTCCATATTAGCTATCATGGAATGTTGCCAATGATCATGGATGATTCAATCTAATGAGACATATCTGGATAGTAATTGAATTGAAATGGTGAGATTCTAAAAAAGGAAGATCATTTTGGTGTCACATTTGGTTGTGTTCATAAGCTAGCCAATTATGTTTAAGATGTCAAACATAATTGTGAATACACAAGCATATCATTCAATATGATAAAAAAGAGATCACGAGGAACTTAAAATGTGATTAAATGGATTTATGATGTTGCATACATATTATACTTGTACTTGAGAGTTACTATACATACCTAACAGTTGTGTAAATGACTAGATGTGATTTTGAACTGTTATATGCATCTAACCATCATATAGCAACTAAGCTCTCAAAGTATGCTAGTCACACAGCTTATTTCCTTATATGAACCCGCTGTAAAGAGTAAAGAAAGCATTCTCTTGATCGTGAGAGTTTGTTACCCATTCTATGCGAGTGGGAGATGTTGGAATAGCTTTCCATATTGGGTGCACATAATCCCACATGTTACTAAAAGAAATTGCCATGGGTCGTTAATGAGATTTGGTTTTTGAATTAAAAACCAAGTAAAACCGACCTCTGTCTCTAAGGCTTCCCTTAGCTTATGGCATTCAACCATTGCATGAAGATGATGAAAAGATTTTTACCATGTCTCTTCCTCCCTCAATATTGAACATGGCATTTGACCATGATGAAATGAGATTAAAGAGTATTCATCCAAAATATAAGATAAGTTCCATTCATGTGTGGGACTATGTGATAAGTCACATAATAAATATCAAGAGAGGAAAAAAGAAAAATCAGCAAAGAGAATAAAACTCTTCGAAGAATCTTTTGTGTTGGTTTTTAAGAACATACTTTGTGAACAGTGGATAATTTCTACAACACCTCTACAAAAAAAAAAAAAAATACTTTAGTTGTGCTTTTACAAATCAAGTAAGTCTATCATGAAATTTTTAGTATTTGATATTATTCATGTATTATTAGATTATCTTTCAAATTATGTATATAATTTTATTAATATGATATTAGTATATACAATTTAATAAATCTAGTTGTAGATTTTTAAGTAAAATAAAAATAAAAACGAGACACATGGCGTTCAACTTTTTCCTCAAATTTTAAATGAATGAGCTGTAGAGCACTAGGGATAAGTAATAGAAAAAGACAAATACCAACGCATAGAACGAATAGAAAAAGAGAAAGCCTTACCCTCGATGCTTATAAAAGGCTGTGTAGACTTGAAATAATTCAGCTTCGAAATCACTCATAGAAGTTCCAAAGAAGAGAATTCCTTTGAGAAAAGAAGAAAAGGAGATGGTTCTTCGCTCCATTTGTTCAGTCCTTCTATTGTGCTTTCTGCTTTTAACAGTAATTTTTAGTATTTTGCCAAAGCATATTACTATCACGACCAAAACTTTTTTATTATTTGTTATTCTTCTTTTATTTTAACTAACTCTATGCATGGTTTGAAATTCCGATCCACAGAGTGACCATGGCAATGCCGCGAAGGATTTGAAAGAAAAACACGACTCCACCACTACTTCTCACAAAAATTGTGATGAAGCAGAGGAAAAGACTTCTTCTCCATCATCTTACATTGCACGCCTTGAAAGCAAATATAAACCAGGTTATATCGTGGATGAAGATGAGGGAAAGAGTTCTTTTCCGTCGTCTTATATGGCACGCCTGGAAAGTAAATACAAACCTGGTTATGTGGTGGATGAAGCTGATGAGCAAAAGGGTTCTTCTCCTTTATCTCACATCGCAGACCTTGAAAGAAAATATCAACCTGATTATGGGGTGGTTGAAGATGGCGAAAAAAGTTCTTCTCCCTCATCTTACATTGTACGCCTTGAAAGCAAATATAAACAGGGTTATGTCGTGGATGAAACTGAGGAAAATAGTTCGTCTTTCATCGCAGGGCTCGAGAGCAAACATAAACCTGGTTATGTAGTTGAGGAAAGGAGTTCTTTCCCGTCATCTTACGCCATTGCACGCCTCGAAAGCAAATATAGACCCGGTTATGTGGTGGATGAAGCTGAGGAAAAGGATTCATCTCCTTCTTCTTACATTGCACGCCTTGAAACCAAATATCAGCCTGGTTATGGTGCTTATGGAGTGATTGAAGCTGACGAGGAAAAAACTTCTTCTCCATCGTCTTACATTGCACGGGTTGAAAGTAAGTATAAACCCGGTTATGTAGTAGATGAAGCTGAGGAAAAGAATTCATCTCCTTCTTACATTGCACGTCTTGAAAGCAAATATCAGCCTGGTTATGGCGCTTATGGAGTGACTGAAGCTGACGAGAAAAAAACTTCTTCTCCATCGTCTTACATTGCACGGGTTGAAAGTAAGTATAAACCCGGTTATGTAGTAGATGAAGCTGAGGAAAAGAATTCATCTCCTTCTTCTTACATTGCACGTCTTGAAAGCAAATATCAGCCCGGTTATGGTGCTTATGGAGTGATTGAAGCTGATGAGAAAAAGGCTTCTTCTCCATCGTCTTACATTGCACATGTAGAAAGTAAGTATAAACCCGGTTATGCAGTCGATGAAGATGTGAATGGAGTTGAAGAAAAGAAATCTCCTCAACCATCTTCCAAAACAATGAAGCATGATCATAACATGGAAAATCATGGGCATGATGACATTGGAAGCGAAGATGTAGGCGTGTTCACCGTAGATGATGTACTTTCTTTCTACGCAGGGAGGGAATTGAGCACCTTCTTTTCCATCAGGAACCATTCTCTTTACCCTGGTTTCTTGCCTAGAGAAGTAGCTGATTCCATCCCTTTTTCATCATCAGAAAGCCTCAAAATTCTCCAATTCTTTTCAGTTTCTCCTGACTCACCAAAAGGCAAAACCGTCAAAGATACACTTAGAAGATGTGAAATTGAAGCTGCCAAAGGGGAGATCAAAATCTGTGCTACCTCTTCAGAATCCATGCTTGAATTTTTGAGAAATGCTTTTGCACCCGAGGCTGATTTCAAGTTTATAACCACAACCCACCCAACGATGACAACCCCTATATTGCAGAGTTACACAGTTTTGGAACCTCCTCGAGAGATTAAATCTCCAAAGACAGTGGCATGTCATCCCTTTCCGTACCTTTATTCAATCTACATGTGCCATTTTGATGCCACTGAGACCAAGGTTTTCAAAGTCCCACTCGTTGGTGACAATGGAGATAAAGTGGATGCTCTCATTGTTTGCCATATGGATACTTCAGCTTGGAGCCCTAAACATGTGGCATTTAGCTTGCTTGGAACCAATCCTGGAATCCCTGTTTGCCATGCTTTTTCTGAAGGTCATGGTGTTTGGATTCAGACCTCACCTACTGCTGCTATGTAAGTGTACCTTGTTTGATGGGGGCTCTCCAGCTTGTCCTGCTTCTGCCATCACATCTCAAATCACCATTGACTCTGTAGTATATTATAACATGTTTCCAATTTAATAAATTGAAGTATGTGCGGCTAGAAATTGTATTAGGTTTTTATGTGCTTTCTGTAACATGGCACTTTTTATTTGAAAGTTGATCATAATAAAATTTGGGTGTAGGAGTATTTGGTTCAATGTTAGTGCATGCTTCTCCTGTTGAAAAAGTTTGAGTTGGAATCTCTCATCCTTTTCCTTTTCCATACCCAGCCTTCTTTTGCTCCCATACCAGACCAGATGAGATATTTTTCATCTTCATGTTTGGATCCAAAACTTGTTCCTTGTAATCTAACTTTTAACAGAAACAAATTAATTAAAATACATATAGGGAATAAATAGAATATAATCAATTTAAGGATTTTCGGATTTTTCATGTAGAGTAATAGTTTGAGAGAGGCGAGCGAGAGGTTTTATTTGGGTTGGTTGCAAGGTGATGAAGGTGTGGGAGGAGGCAGGGAGGTTATCCTTCACTGACGACTGGTTTATCAAATTATGATTGTTTTCTTTTGTTTTTAGTTTGATAAAATTTCTAGTCTGGAATTTTTTTTTCGTAAACAAATAGTTTTTCTATTTTAGATTGTCCAATAGAGGTTTGCCATGTGTTTTTCTCTTGGACATTTAAAACAAATTATATTCACGTATACGTTAGGGAGGGAAAATTTTTATAAAGTTTTTTAAGTAAAATTATTAAAGTTTTTTATTAAAAAATTATTTAATAAAATTAAAATAAAAATTCAAATTACTGGATTGATGGAGTTTAATGAAAATATTAATAATTTATATAAAAATTATTAAAAATATCGTTTATAGTCAAATTTAACAAGTATTTATTCGACTGTAAAAATTTTATCAAAATTTTTATTGAACATTCTTACCTAAAAAATATATCAAATTGTATTATTTTTTAAATTTACATACTTAATTTATAGAACAAAATCTTTTAATTTATCGATATTGATTTTTTATTTTAGCTTTTATTAAATCATTTTTAATAAAAAAAATTTCACAAACTTTATCTAAGTAGTTTCTAGTTTAAGTATCATGTATAACTAAAATATAAACAAATAAAAAATGCATAAATTTTATTATGTTTGTGATCATATGCCGGTTTAATTAATAAATTTTAAAATATTATTTGTTATAGTTGTAATTAAATTTAATAAATAAATATAAACTAAATCTATTTATAATTTTTCGTCAAATACTCTATTAATTTACACAATCTAATTAACAAATGAAAACAACAACTATATGTATTTCATTTCATCAAAGTCTGTAATGATAATGCGTTACTCTCTTTTCTAAGAATGTCGGTATTATAGATTCAAATTTGGCCCAACTTTTGGCAATTCTTGAAACTCTCTCAATTATTGACGAAGCCAATATTGAGACTTTACCAGAGATTATTGTCAAAAGTGACTCAAAATTTATGATCACGTGGATAAAAACTGAGAGTGACAGGCCATGGAAGAACAATGAAGTTTTTAGCTCTCCACAACTTGCATGCAGATGTTAAGAAAATCTCTTTTGGTTATATAATTAGATAAGCTAATAAGTTGGCAGATTACTTTGGTAAGTTGTGTGTCAATAGAATCTCTTTAAAATAGTAATAAATGTTATTTTAATTGTTATTAGAAATAAAAAAATTATTATAACTACAATTTCAATGAAAATTTTATATTAAATAAACTTCATTAGAATTAATATTTAGATTCAATTAGTGATAATTAAAATTGCACCTCCAGTGAAGTGTAGTTGCATTCAAACATAGCCTTAGTAGATTGCTTATAACTTTATAACTCTCTTTATTAATAACATCTATGTTTTTACTTTTTAAAAAAATATATTTCATTTCATCCGAAAATGGAAAAAGGATTTTCTTTTTCTATTTCTAATTTTCTTTGACCTCTTTGGCTTAGGATGTCTTTCCCATTCATGCTGCAAAAGTTTTTTTTACCATACAAGTTAACACCAACCAATTAGTTTTCTTGTCTTCATTGACCCAACAAAGAGAAATAAAGAAATGGAAAACATTAAAAAAAAGGAAAAAGAATAGAAAGCATACTAAAAAATATCGGACAATCATTCACCATAAGTAGAAACTGTTTAACATTTTTCCAAAGGAATAATTTTATTACTCTTATCTCCTTGATTTCATTGATCAGCTGGTAGAAGATTTCCTTGAGAATCATACAAAATCTTCCCTGAAAAATCCAAGGGACGACAACGTTCTCCCATTATAATTTTCTTCCTCCAAACAGCTTCTTCACTTTGATCATCATCTTCTTCTTCCTCAGCCAGCACTTTTCTCCAAGAAATCATCTTCACTATCAGCTGAGCTTTACTTCCAAGATTGCTATTTATCTTTGACAGCAGCTTCTTTTCATTATTATTATTATTATTATTATTCTGCCTTTGGAATCCCCTGCTTTTGTTTGAAGTGCAAAGGAATGTTGTGATTGAAAATACAGAGAAAATTGCTAAAACAACAACGAAGAGGTTGATTGGTATGGCTGCAAATGAAGGGTTTTGCATGGCATGGCTTAGAATAAGAAGAGGCCTCGCCATTGAAAAAACAATTACTTAGAATTATGGAAGAAACTAGACAGAAGTGAGAGATTTAATTGAAGCCATTTGGTCATCAACCGAGCGTGCCGTGGCATTGATGTTCCACAAGACGCTGACGTGTCGTCGGTTGATTGGTTGGAGGTGCCAATTTGGGACCGTCGTGCTTTGCACGGTGACATTGACTTGACCTATTGACTTTAAGTCATCTTTGAAAGTCTAATCCTCTTCGGTATGAACCAATGTTGAATATGCAGCTATTGAATATTAGAACAATGAATTTTAGTAATTTCTACAAAGCAGGAAAAGTCTCTTAATGTTGATCAATTAGGGATTGATTCAATTGATAAGTTTCGTGGCCTCGATAATGAATAATATTCGAATTTTAGCAATGATCCATTTTTTACATTAATATCATATATTCGATCTGCGTGAAATACAATAATCAATTAAGAATAATAATCAATTAAGAATTGAATATTTTATTTTTGGATCACCCAATAACTCTTACATGGAGAAATTTTGAGGTTTAGGTACGGCTTTGCTTGGTTTGAATATGAACAAAGAATCCGGAGAGGCTTTCTAGCAAAGACGAAAGGGTAGGTAAAGAGTATAAGCTGCTCTGTTTTGGTTTAAAAAAAATTGTCTAGAACGAGTATAAATTATAATAAAATTCGATATTTTAATTTAAAATTTTTTTATATAATATTTAAATTATAAATTTATTAATTAATATGATATTTAAAAAATATTTATCTACACATATTATTATTTGAAATTAATCATATTAAAAATAAAATATCATATAAGTTATAAATTTATAATTTAATTATCATATTAAAAAATTTTGAAATTTAATTATTACATTAAATATTTCATTATAATTTAAAAACTATTCATAATATTAATCCTTTTAAAAACAAAATATTTTTATGCATAGCCTAAATGCCATCTAAATGAAGCATGTGAAGCTACACTATCTTATATTTAGTTCTTTCTAGCCATATTATCTCATAGCAAAGCCATATATATAGACACTAGGAACTCATATTGCTTTAATCCAACATTATTACGATAACTGAAAAGCATCTATTCTGATTTTTTTTTCTCTAAATCAATCAATTTTATTAGAGCAGGAGACAGAGAACAAGTGAGAAAAGAAAGTTCTCGTAGACACCTCATAAAACAGACTCTACTTACCTGAAATTTGTAACCTGGAATACACCCATCAGCAAAAACCAGATCCATCAATCACCATGACGCCATAAACAGCTTTGAGCAATACACCATACCCAAACTTTCCGTGGTCAAGCCTCTGATTTAATACACCAATAAACAGCAATCTTTGAACCAGACTCAAATAATTTTCAGCTCAGACAATTTTCTCAATTCCAGGTCTGTCACCACATGCTTATTTCACCATTCTGTCAATTAGCTTCTTTAACAACCATACTCATTCCTAGTAATTTCCTCCCTATTAGTGGCAGATCAACCAATTAATTGCAGCCAAGAACACCAACTTCCCTCATAGATGCGCACGTGCAACTTGGTAATTTGAGGAGAATGGCCTCCTCTATATCCCCCAAACTCCTAGTTTTCTTGTTCTTCTCCCATTTCCATTTTTGAGAACTAGGCTGGTGGCATCAAAACCATCAGCCCCATCTCCCTCACACGAGACTCTTTTCCTTATCTCCACCCACCTCAGACGTCAACTGATCCACAGGCTTGATATGCACCATCATTTCCCAACCCCAAAATAGGATCACCCACTTGTTCTTCTTCATGTTTGTCCAATGGGCTTATTACCTTATTAAAACTCCTCTTCTCAGCCCAGCAACCCATCTTCAATGCTCATTATCTCTGTTGACTCCCCTACACGTTCTCGTCCATTCTTTTGGCTTGCCGTTTCCTTAGCCAATGAGAAATCAGAGCTACAGCCACCTTCCAGTCTGTCACTGCCTGCATTCTCTTCGAGTGTATCATTCTTCTTGTCGCCCTCGATCCCATTGAAATTATCACTCCTCAAGCTTAATTCCTCAGACTCTGCCACAACCTCTCCAACCGTCTCATTTACTTTGTCATCCCTGACCTTCCCATCCTCTGCTTCACGGGACAGTTCGTCTTCCTTCTCAGCTGAGCTCTCATAGGAATTATACTCTGTTTGATTATGAGTTTTATTCTCAGCTTTTTTATCTTTATGATTCTTGCAAGAACAATGGAAAAGAGAAACATATTCATCTCCAACTTCTGTCTCCGAGACTTGAAAGGATTTTCCATTGCACCTGAGCATGATATTATCATTTATTCTCTCCTTTTGGTCTGTCATAATGATCATTGCACCCCGTTGAAGT